AAACAACTTCTATTCAACGAAAGGAGACTGCGACCACACTAAAGGCCACACCATCTTGGTCTTCATATTTCCAAAAGGTGTTCTCATCCAGGCACCAGTGGACTGCAGTTTCGACCTCGCATCGGTCTTATCCACACCCTCAGCGGGAGTCGAACCGCGACAGTGCAGAATGGAAGCTTGACACGCTTACCACTTGGCTACACTGCCACGAGTACCATTGAGTCACAGGGCATAGTTGAATTGCAAGGAATGTCAGACCTCTTTTTGCTATATCATATTCTTTTGGTAGGAGTGTCGATGAAGCAAACGTATATTTGCCATAGCAATCGACTACGCTACTTTTATTCGTATTGGAATAGGGTTTCGAGACTACCAGTAAATCATTGTAATGAGATGTATTCACCCTATTTCGTGTAAGTTGATAAAGGACTGGTAGTAGAATGGTCCCACAATGATACGAAATAGGGTGAATACATCTCATTACAATGATTTACTGGTAGTCTCGAAACTCTACTCCAATACGAATATAAGTAATGTAGTCGATTGCTATAGCAAACATACGTTTGCTTCATCGACACTCCTACCATAAGAGGTCTGACATTCCTTGAAATTCACTTATGTCCTGTGACTCAATGGTACTCGTGGTAGTGTAGCCAAGTGGTTAGCGTGTCAAGCTTCCATCCTGCACGGTCGCGGTTCGACTCCCGCTGAGGGTGTTGATAAGACCAATGCGAGGTCGAAACTGCAGTTCACTGGTGCCTGGATGAGAACAACTTTTGGAAAGGTGAAATTCAATGGAAACATCAGCTCAACTCATATCATTGTGGGACAATTCTACTACCAGTCCTTCATCACGAAATAGGGTGAATACATCTCATTGCAATGATTTACTGGTAGTCTCGAAACCTTACTCCAATACGAATATAGACTTATCCATGACTGTGTTGCGAAGTGGCAAGGTGTCGTAACTTTAGTCAAACGTCTTGGGTTAGAATCGCGTTGTGAGCGTGAATGAGAAGATGAGGCGAGTTTGAAGTTACACTCAAGCCTAAGTTAGAATAGGAAGGAAAACTGGGTTTTGAAGAATTCCTTAGTGAAATATGTGCGACATGACTCTTCATTTCGAAGGGAATGTTGGTTAGTAGGAATTCGTGATGTGGTCCTATTGGAAACCGAAGGAGGATTGTCGGTTCACAGTCCTGCGACCCCGATGAAACTGTGCTGAACTTTCGTCTGTACCAACCTGACAGACATCATCAGAGCAAAAATATACTAAAGCAAGAGAAGGTGGCCGGCTGCAACCTAACTTCGCGGTCTTAATGAAACATCCTAGGATTTGGTTGGATATTCAAAATTTACTCTACCTGCTTACTCTGATGATGTTTGTCAAGATGGTACAGACGACAGCTCAACACAGTTTCATCAGGGTCGCCGGACTGTGAACTGAGGACTTCTTCGCACAATTCAGTCGACTTCCCTATGCGGCAATTCTCCTTTGGTTTCCGAGGAGACCACATCATGAATTCCTTCCAAACAACTTTCTCTTCGAAATGGAGAGTCAGGCCTTCTGGGAGGCCGGGCTGTGTTCAGTTCAACGCCATCTTGAGGCCTACTCATAACGTTGTGGGAAAATTGTACCATTAATCCGAGACCGCCGAGCAATTGGCATCCAATCTTTGGGTCAGCACAAGAACAATCGTCAGACGGTTTTGGTTGAAACCGGCAAATAAAGCTGGTCTCAGTAAGTCCTCATGCGAAACTGGGGCCTATTGGTTAAAAACATAGGATTTCCTTTAGCTGCGAATGATCGAGGAATGACAAAACGTCAGTAGAAACGAAAAGTAGCCGGGCCTCGATGAATCCCTTAGGCTTGGATTGTTGTGGAGACTTTTATTTCGCATGAAAGGGTCTGACGAAGGGATTCGTTGATTGATCTCACCGGAAAACGACAGTCGATTTCCATTGTACTGAGGCCGTTTCGCTTCAATACGATGTTCCGGCTGACGCTCTCCACAAGACATCCGCCCTCGTTTCGGGCTAAGCTTTTGTCCGTTTTGAAAGCCGATAACCCTAAATGTAATGGTATCATCGAGTCGAATTTGACATAGCCCCCTTTCATACGAAATGAAAGTCTCCACAACAAATAACGTCAATATTGTGTCACGAATAGTGTGAACCCGAGGTTACCCATTCACGCCAAAGTCTCTGCCGCCTTGGAAATCCCATTTGTCAAAAGGTCACTCAGACATGGGCCTAGTCCGTGTGATACTGGCCACATACGGGAGCTAAAATGTGTCGTCCTCTCCAGTTTACATAGTTTGTTCATCGACGAGTCTTGCCGTGATCGGTAACTCTTTTGAGCTTACTTGATGGCGATTATACATTGAACCCACATTCACATTTCTTGTTCAAGCACTACTGATAGCATCTGAATCTACTCATATCGAAATTGAGTGCCATAGTCAATTGCAATGGTAAACACACGTTGGCTTACTCGATAATCCCACAAAGAAAATGTGAGTTATGGTAAGCCTGGCTTGCCTCAAATCGTACATTTGCCCTGTGACTTACTGGCGCCTGTGGTCGCGTAATGTAGTGATAAATGTCACCACGATATTCACAAACCGAGTTCCAATCTCGATGGGAACGCGGGACCGGCCAGTTCCAGCGAGCTCGGACTTAGAGGCTAAGTGGAACTCAGTGGCACCGTTCGCAGTAAGCGGATGAGGGTGACTAAGTTCTGACCGTCATTCCAGCTTGTCAAGGAATGCACTTTGCCTGTTCCAAATAGCTCCTCTACTTTACAGCAATGAAGTACTCTTCGATGCGAGTGCTCTCCCAGACTGATAATGTCGAAAACTACTCTCATCCAAAATAAGTAGTGTGTCGATTTTAATGGCAAATACAAGTTCGCCTCGTCGGTATTCGGACAAAAAAAAGCGCTTTGGAAGAGGCTCGGTTCACCTTGAAAGTCGTCACACTTGTCCTGCACAACGCCAACGACCCGAGTTCGAGTCCCGCTGCGGTTCGGAACTGGAGTCCTTCAGCCTCTCGACGAGGAGGGCCAGACAACCGCGGTGGGTTTGTGAGGTCGACTGGTCGGATTGTGGGAAAATTCAACTCTGAGCGATCCGGCCAGACTCGATTTCTCATTCAGAATAAGGTTAAAATAAAGTTTTTATTTGCCCGCTTGATGAAGAGGGATAAAAGAAAAAGACTTGGAAGCATCAAAGCTGGGGTTATGGATAGGTCGATAGAAATATGCAAGGCATGTATATACACATATCCACTAAAATGGGTTTTACAATAATTTGCGACAAGCGATGGTACAAAGCCATTCCGCTTATCTTATGGACAGATTACTAACGGGCGTTGCTATGCATGCAAACACA